CATCCCTCCACGGATGTTCATCTTCGGTGGGGGCATAAGTAACCACGACCACCACTCCTCGCCTCCGTTTGATGGGAAGGCGAGCCCAAAGTAGCCTGGGGCTTACAGCTTCCCACACCACACCGCCACGCTCCCACGCCCCCTTCATTATTTAGTTCAGAAGAAGAGCCACTCCCTGTTGTTTGGCAGTCTCCTGCCCCGAGTAGAGGACTGTCCACCCCTCATGGTGGCAGGAGCCAGAGCCGGTCCACCGGACCTCCTGAATGCCGCAGAGATCCAGGCGGTACCGGTCCAGCTCCCGACAGAGGAGTGGCAGCCTCTCCTCCGCAGTGAGCGTTCGAACATTCCACGTGGCCATCCGCAGAGGCTTTTGCTGCTTGTGGAGTAACCCCGAGGGTGAAGATTCAATCTCCTGGCTCCGCCAAATGGGGTTTGGCCAGGAGACGTCACAGACGCATGTCCCCCCGGGGCCTCCGGCACAAGCTTAATACGTTTTGTACACCGTAGTTTAGTGGTAAGTTAATTGAAGGTGGAGGGGTTACCAGCCCCTCGCATCCGTCCAGAGCCCCCAATTTGGCCGCTGTGGTGGTCACTGCAAACGCCATGAGGGGAAATCCGAATAGAATTGCTCACAGACACCACAGCGTCACACACAGGCACAGAAAAAACTCGCTAAGCAATGGAATGTAATCGTTGGAGATCCGATGAAGATTCGTATCTCCGCGTGACTCTCTGTGTATACTTACCGAGAGTGTTCAAAGTCGCTTCCCACAACGCAGCCGGGAGGTAGTCACTGATCCAGCAGGGGAATGATCAGCTGCTGATTGATTGTGACTCACATCCTGACTGTGTCGAAGTATAGCAAATGAGTGGGTGGGTGAGTGAGTGAGTGAGTGGGTGGGTGAGTGTGTGGGTGAGTGGGTGGGTGGGTGGGTGAGTGGGTGAGTGGTTGGGTGAGTGGTTGCGTGGGTGAGTGGTTGGGTGAGTGAGTGGGTGAGTGGGTGGGTGAGTGGTTGGGTGAGTGAGTGGGTGAGTGGGTGAGTGAGTGGTTGGGTGAGTGGGTGAGTGGTTGAGTGAGTGAGTGGGTGGGTGAGTGGATGGGTGAGCGGTTGGTTGAGCGGTTGGGTGAGTGGGTGGGTGGGTGAGCAGATGGGTGAGTGGGTGAGTGAGTGGGTGAGTGGTTGGGTGGGTGGGTGAGTGAGTGAGTGGATGAGTGAGTGGGTGAGTGGTTGGGTGAGTGAGTGGTTGGGTGAGTGGTTGGGTGAGTGGGTGAGTGAGTGGTTGGGTGAGTGTGTGGATGAGTGAGTGAGTAGGTGGGTGGGTGGGTGAAAGGATGAGTTGGCGAGTGAGTGGGCGAGTTCGTGGGCGAGTGAGCGGGTGAATGAGTGGGTGAAAGAATGAATGAGCGGATGAATGATTAAGTGAGCGACTGGATGAGAGAGAATGAGTAAATGTCCTCGTGGCCAGTACCTATTCTTTGCCAAATCATCATATCATAATTATTCTTGCACTTCGAGTAACAGAGGGAGGGAATGAGTTGGCGAATGAATGAATGAATGATTAAGCGGGAACAAGTTATTCAAGCCAGAAGGATGAGCGAGATCGAATTCATTGACGGGTGAATGAATTGATTGAATGCACAATTTGACTCAATGTTACTCAATGCAAATACGATATGTTCAGTCGGATCGATGGGTGGGGTGAAATGTGGAAGTCGATCCCACCGATCCAGTAGCAGCGACGGTGGAGGAACAGGGCAGTTGCAGGGCTGAGCCTTTAACCCAGCAGGTGTCGATTATTTATTTATTTACAACTCACTCATTCACTCACTCACACTCACCCACCTACCCACTCACCCACTCACCAACCTACCCACCCACTCACCAACCACTCACTCACTCACCCACTCACCCACTCACTCATCCACCCACTCACCCACCCACCCACTCCCACTCACCCACCTACGCAATCACCCACTCACCAACCCACCCACCCACACACTCACCCACCGACCCGCTCACCCACTCATTCACTCACTCCCACTCACCCACCTATCAACCCACCCACCCACTCACCAACCCACCCACACACTCTCACCACCCACCCACTAACCCACCCACCCACTCACTCAGCCACCCACCCACCTACTCTCCCAACCACTCACTCACCTACCCACCCACCCACTCACCTACTCACTCACTCACTCACCGACTCACTCACTAACTCACCCATCTACTCACCCACTCACTCACCCACCCACTCACCCACTCACTCACCCACTCACTCACCCATCTACTCACCCACTCACTCACCCACTCACTTACCCACCCACCCACTCAACCAATCACTCACCCTCACCCACTCACCCACCTTCCCACTCACTCACTCACCCACACACCCACCTACTCACCCACCCACTCACTCTCACTCACCGACCCATTCACCCACTCACCCACCCACTCACCCACACACCCACCCACTCACCCACCCACTCACCCACCCACCCACTCACCCACCCACCCACTCACTCACCCACCCACCCACTCACCCACCCACCCACTCACCCACTCACCCACTCACCCACCCACCCACTCACTCACCCACCCACCCACTCACCCACTCACCCACCCACCCACTCACTCACCCACCCACCCACTCACTAACTCACCCACCCACCCACCCTCTCACCCACTCACCAACTCACCCACCCATCTACTCACCCACCCACCCACTCACCCACCCACCCACTCACCCACCCACCCACACCACCTTATTAAACGACACAAGTTTGTGGCTGTAAGTATTCTCGACGATTAGAATAATTACGATGTTATTGTCAAGACGTCGTTTCATTCTTGTTAAAGTAGTTTGACGTGTTGATTTCGCCAGTTTGTTTTGTGTCTCATTTCTCCGTAAGTTGATGATATCATTCTCCCGGTGGTTGAAATTCCCATCGGATGGATTTTCATGAAATGCAAAATATGAATAATAAAATTATGAAATTAATAAAATTATTAAAATTATAACCTCGTCATCACTGATTCGCTTCTTGCCTCTGAGTAGACTCCAATGTTAAAGTGTCTACCCATAGACTCAAATGTTAAATTGTCTACCCATAGACTCCAATGTTAAAGTGTATACCCATAGACTCCAATGTTAAAGTGTCTACCCATAGACTTCAATGTTAAAGTGTCTACCCATAGACTCCAATGTTAAAGTGTCTACCCATAGACTTCAATGTTAAAGTGTTTACCCATAGACTCCAATGTTAAAGTGCCTACCCATAGACTCCAATGTTAAAGTGTCTACCCATAGACTCCAATGTTAAAGTGTCTACCCATAGACTTCAATGTTAAAGTGTCTACCCGTAGACTTCAATGTTAAAGTGTCTACCCATAGACTCCAATGTTAAAGTGTCTACCCATAGACTCCAATGTTAAAGTCTCTACCCATAGACTCCAATGTTAAAGTGTCTACCCATAGACTTCAATGTTAAAGTGTCTACCCATAGACTTCAATGTTAAAGTGTCTACCCATAGACTTCAATGTTAAAGTGTCTACCCATAGACTCCAATGTTAAAGTGTCTACCCATAGACTCCAATGTTAAAGTGTCTACCCATAGACTCCAATGTTAAAGTGTCTAGTCATGCACCTAGCCTGGCACAGCAGTACAACCCATGGCACCTGCAATGTCTGTCACGTGACCTCCTCATGCACCTAGCCTGGCACGGCAGTACAACCCATGGCACCTGCAATGTCTGTCACGTGACCTCCTCATGCACCTAGCCTGGCACGGCAGTACAACCCATGACACTTGCAGGGTCTGTCACGTGACCTCCTCATGCACCTAGCCTGGCACGGCAGTACAACCCATGGCACCTGCAGGGTCTGTCACGTGACCTCCTCATGCACCTAGCCTGGCACAGCAGTACAACCCATGACACCTGCAGGGTCTGTCACGTGACCTCCTCCTCATGCACCTAGCCTGGCACAGCAGTCAACCCATGGCACCTGCTGGGTCTGTCACGTGACCTCCTCCTCATGCACCTAGCCTGGCACAGCAGTCAACCCATGACACCTGCAGGGTCTGTCACGTGACCTCCTCCTCATGCACCTAGCCTGGCACAGCAGTACAACTCATGGGACCTGCTGGGTCTGTCACGTGACCTCCTCATGCACCTAGCCTGGCACAGCAGTACAACCCATGGCACCTGCTGGGTCTGTCACGTGACCTCCTCCTCATGCACCTAGCCTGGCACAGCAGTACAACCCATGGCACCTGCAGGGTCTGTCACGTGACCTCCTCATGCACCTAGCCTGGCACAGCAGTACAACCCATGGCACCTGCTGGGTCTGTCACGTGACCTCCTCATGCACCTAGCCTGGCACAGCAGTACAACCCATGGCACCTGCTGGGTCTGTCACGTGACCTCCTCCTCATGCACCTAGCCTGGCACAGCAGTACAACCCGTGGCACCTGCAGGGTCTGTCACGTGACCTCTTCATGCACCTAGCCTGGCACAGCGGTACAACCCATGGCACCTGCAGGGTCTGTCACGTGACCTCAATAACGTTAATAAATTATGCTAATTTCGCGTGACGTCAGCCAGCTTCGCCCCGCCCACTGCCCCTAAAATTAGCCAATGAGCGACGAGGCTTCGCCTCACACCACAGTAAGCTCCGCCCACTACCTCTTGGCCCCGCCCACCGCCATGTCGACCAATGGGAGGCTCTGGCCACGCCCCTCCCTCCCTCATAGGCCACGCCAACACCACGTCGACCAATGGGAGGCTCTGACCACGCCCCCTCCTCACAGGCCCCGCCCACCGCCAAGTTGACCAATGGGAGGACTCCAAACCCGCCCCCCTCCCTCACAGGCCCCGCCCACCGCCAAGTCGACCAATGGGAGGCTCTGGCCACGCCCCCTCCCTCACAGACCCCGCCCACCGCCAAGTCAACCAATGGGAGGCTCTGGCCACGCCCCCTCCTCACAGGCCCCGCCCCCCTCACACGTTGGCGCTGGAGGTCTCGCTCAGACGTTCCAGCAACGTCCAAGCGACGTTCGTCGCTCGCGTTACGCGATTCACAAATTACACTACTTCAGCTAGTTAGTACACTACTAGCTAGTTACACTACATTAGTTAGTTAGTACACTGGCTAGTTATACTAGTTAGTTATACTACTAGTTAGTTAGTACACTAGTACACTAGTTAGTACATTAGTTAGTTAGTACACTACATTAGTACACTAGCTAGTTACACTACATTAGTACACTAGCTAGTTACACTACATTAGTACACTAGTTAGTTAGACTGCTAGTTAGTTAGACTAGTTAGTGAGAATCATTCTGCTACAGCAACAAGGTGAGTGTGGTGAGGGTGGTGGTGAGTGTGGTGAGGGTGGTGAGTGTGGTGAGTGTGGTGAGGGTGGTGAGGGTGGTGAGTGTGGTGAGGGTGGTGGTGAGTGTAGTGAGTGAGTGTGGTGAGTGTGGTGAGGGTGGTGAGTGTGGTGAGGGTGGTGGTGAGTGTGGTGAGGGTGGTGAGTGTGGTGAGGGTGGTGAGTGTAGTGAGTGAGTGTGGTGAGGGTGGTGAGTGTGGTGAGTGTGGTGAGGGTGGTGAGTGTGGTGAGGGTGGTGGTGAGTGTAGTGAGTGAGTGTGGTGAGGGTGGTGAGTGTGGTGAGTGTGGTGAGGGTGGTGAGTGTGGTGAGGGTGGTGGTGAGTGTGGTGAGGGTGGTGAGTGTGGTGAGGGTGGTGAGTGTAGTGAGTGAGTGTGGTGAGGGTGGTGAGTGTGGTGAGTGTGGTGAGGGTGGTGAGTGTGGTGAGGGTGGTGGTGAGTGTGGTGAGGGTGGTGAGGGTGGTGAGTGTGGTGGTGGTGGTGAGGGTGGTGAGTGTGGTGGTGGTGGTGAGGGTGGTGAGGGTGGTGAGGGTGGTGAGTGTGGTGAGGGTGGTGGTGAGTGTGGTGAGGGTGGTGAGGGTGGTGAGTGTGGTGGTGGTGGTGAGGGTGGTGAGTGTGGTGGTGGTGGTGAGTGTGGTGAGGGTGGTGGGTGGTGAGGGTGGTGGGTGGTGAGTGGTGAGGGTGGTGGTGGGTGATGGTGGTGAGGGTGGTGAGTGTGGTGGGTGGTGGTGGTGAGTGTGGTGAGGGTGGTGAGTGTGGTGAGGGTGGTGAGTGTGGTGAGGGTGGTGAGTGTGGTGAGGGTGGTGGTGAGGGTGGTGAGGGTGGTGAGTGTGGTGAGGGTGGTGAGGGTGGTGAGTGTGGTGAGGGTGGTGGTGAGGGTGGTGAGTGTGGTGAGGGTGGTGGTGGTGAGTGTGGTGAGGGTGGTGGTGAGGGTGGTGAGTGTGGTGGTGGTGGTGAGGGTGGTGAGGGTGGTGAGTGTGGTGAGGGTGGTGGTGAGGGTGGTGAGTGTGGTGGTGGTGGTGAGGGTGGTGGTGGTGAGTGTGGTGAGGGTGGTGGTGGTGAGTGTGGTGAGGGTGGTGGTGAGGGTGGTGAGTGTGGTGGTGGTGGTGAGGGTGGTGAGTGTGGTGAGGGTGGTGGTGAGGGTGGTGAGTGTGGTGGTGGTGGTGAGGGTGGTGGTGGTGAGTGTGGTGAGGGTGGTGGTGGTGAGTGTGGTGAGGGTGGTGAGTGTGGTGAGGGTGGTGGTGGTGAGTGTGGTGAGTGTGGTGAGGGTGGTGAGTGTGGTGAGGGTGGTGGTGGTGGTGAGTGGTGAGGGTGGTGGTGAGGGTGGTGAGGGTGGTGAGTGTGGTGAGGGTGGTGGTGAGTGTGGTGAGGGTGGTGGTGGTGGTGAGTGGTGAGGGTGGTGGTGAGTGTGGTGAGTGTGGTGAGTGTGGTGAGGGTGGTGGTGGTGAGTGTGGTGAGTGTGGTGAGGGTGGTGGTGAGTGTGGTGAGGGTGGTGGTGGTGAGTGGTGAGGGTGGTGGTGGTGAGTGTGGTGAGGGTGGTGGTGGTGGGTGGTGAGTGTGGTGAGGGTGGTGGGTGGTGAGTGTTTGTGGTGAGTGTGGTAGTGAGTGGTGGTGAGTGTGGTGAGTGTAGTGGTGAATATGGTGAGTGGTGGTGAGTGTGGTGAATGTGGTGAGTGTGGTGGTGAATGTGAGTGGTGGTGAATGTAGTGGTGAGTGGTGAATGTGGTGAGTGTGGTGAGTGATGGTGAGTGTTTGTGGTGAGTGATGGTGAGTGTTTGTGGTGAGTGTGGTGAGTGATGGTGTTTGTGGTGTTTGTGGTGAGTGTGGTGAGTGTTTGTGGTGAGTGATGGTGAGTGTTTGTGGTGAGTGGTGAGTGATGGTGTTTGTGTTTGTGGTGTTTGTGGTGATCTCTGGCAAGGCCTCGCACAGGCTTATCCTGAATGTAGGCCCACGGAATCGATTCACAAAATCGATAAGCGAGTATCGTGACTCGATTCTGCGTGTTGGGTGGTGGGAGTCGATGGACTCGATTCCTGAAGCAAATTAATAAACGGATCGATTCTCTGGTTGCGTCATCGCCAGAATCGATGGGGCGGTGTCGTAAT